TTAAAGTGCGCTTTTTGACAACGGGATGGTCAATGTAGTGTTTCAGCGGGAGAGGTCAGGCGCATGGCTCCAGAGGTTGCAGCTCACGGACCAGCTGCTGGAAGAGGCCGCGGCGGCCAATGAGGGCGGTAGAAAAAGGAAGAACCCTAAAAAATCCGCAGCTGAGAGCTCTGGCCGGGGCATGCAGGCAGGCAAGAGACCGCGGGCAGCGCCGGTGAGCTGGTGATTATTTTCTTCTTAGATCCTATGAATATTTGCAATGCATCAGATCTCTTCCAACAGTTGCGTCAGGCCGGCCAGATTCTGCTGGACTCATTGCCTTGCGTGCGCCCATTCAAAGAAAGGAAACACGCGTTCTGATTACATGCTCTTCATGGAATTCATTATTGCTCGCCACCCAAAAGGCTCTTTGTTGGACAAGATTCTACAGGCAGTCTTGACCTGCTCGTTCCGCTCAGATTTTGAGCATGGTGTGATGCTGATATCTGAGGCTGGTCAGGAGGTGTATCTGAAGGACTTGGTCGGCGCTTGCAGGCACTCGAAGGCGGGGCCCCCGGCATTGCCGGCCAAGCCACTCTCTTCATCAGTGGTGTACTAGATGGCGCGTGCCGCGTGCTGCTGCCGGCGGGGCAAGACCCTGAGGGCCCGCTCCTCGGCAGGCTCTACCTGACGGCGTGGGATCACAACCGCGCAAAGCCGAAGCCGCTTGGAAAGCCTTGCAAAGAGAAGGCACTGCTGCAGGAATGCTGGTGGGATTCGCAGGGGCGGCTCAATTGCACATGCCACCGCGGCAGGCTGGCTCTGGATGCGCCATGCGTACACAAGCTGGTCTTGGCGTCCCCCTGCACGGACTTCATCGCCAGCAGCGGCTTGCCGACCGCGAAGGACCTGAGTAGTGGGGCTCACGTGGTCGAGCAATTGGGGGAGGACCCAAGCGGGGCCTTCTACGCCGTCAGGAACAGCCCGAAGGGAGTGAGCCCGGAGCACAGAATGCTCCACCGGACCACGGCTGGAGCCTGGTACTGTGAGGGCAAACTCAGCGGCTGTCCTGCGCAAGAATGCTCTCACATCACGGCGGCCAAGGCTGCCCTAGCTGCGGGAAGGGTGCAGCACTCTGAGGGCATCCTTCTCGGGCCGGACGCCCTAAGTACGGCAGCTCACTGGATAGAGGACTGGGAGGGTGAGTTGCCGTTGCTGGGCGAGCCGGGCGAGCAAAGGGTGCGAGGGGCAGGGTGCGCAATCGAGCGAGGGGCAACGGGTGAGGAGGCGGGACTGCTGGGACTGATTGCCGGGCAGAAGCAGGGGGCGGCAGAGTGCCTGGGCATCAATTGCTTTTGTCTGGAACACCTGGTTCTTTTCGGAGAGGCGCGACCGGCATCGGAGGCTGGTGATTTAGATGGGGCCCTGGAAACGTCGAGCACCAGCGTCGAGCCTTGGAAGCGGGCGCCGAGGGGTTCGAAGTACTGGGCGGAACACCGGGGCGAGCTGCGAAGCGCCGCGCCCCGCAGTGCTGCAGGAGAGCCGGCGGAGGACGCGCGGGGCGAGGATGCGATCCAAGGCTGGGTGCCAGCTTGCCACAGCTGCAAGCTGAGCGAGACGCGGCAAGGGGGGTGCAGGCATGCGGAGGCGGGGCGCGTGCAAGTGCCAGTCATGCTGCTGGGGACGGAGGCCCTCCAGATCACGAAGCCGAAGCTGGGCAAGCTCGCCGATGCCCTCGTTCACCACGATCCATGGATCAGCTCCCTTAAAGGGGGCCTCGTCCGCGTCAGCAAGCTGCGAGACTGCCACTTTCGAGAGCTCAGCCAGATGGGGATGCTCAGGGCCGCGTGCCCGATTCAGCCTCCCCCCTGCGGCGGCAAGTGGGTGGAGCACGTGAAGGCGGCCGTTATACACGCCTCCACCTGGTCAGAGCGGGTGCTAACGACAATCTACTGCTGCCAGTGCACCAGCAAAGCGCACACGGTGCACTTCTGTGGGGAGCACCTCGGCCTCTACTGCTGGACGGCGGGGACCATCCTGGTCCAGGAGAGCCTGCAGCTCATCCTCAAGGGGATGCAGCGCTCCGGGTCGGCCTTCTCCGCCGAGCTGGCGAGGGACCAGGAGGCGTTCGCCCGCTCCCCCGAGTCGGTCGTTTTATCGGACGAGAGCTGGCGCAGGGCGAGCTTGGACTTCTTCAAGCTAGTGGGCAGGCAGATCCTCGAGTGCTGTTCTATCTGCGGCGTGCATCCGGAGGTGAGCACTTCTTGCAGCGTGGTCTCACCTCTCGTACGGTCGCCGTTCTTTGAGGAATGAGCGATCCGCCGACGAACGCCCGTAGCGAATCGATATCCATATTCAAATCACCTTCGTTGAATTCGTCGGCCAACGTAAGTCGGGTCACGCGCTGCCTTGCCGCATCCATGCTGTGGTGCATTCTTCAAGGATTTAAACGCTCCAATATTTCCGCACTGCTTTTTAGGCGTCGGCAAACCCGTCATCAGAATCAGGCTACAGATTTATTGAATGTTGATTTTGTACAAGATGAAGTTTGAACACGGGGTTTACAGGGTGGTTTTCGAAATCATACGTTCGGTATTGTAGAAGAGGGCTCAGCCCTCTCCTTCATTCAATTTCCCCAAACTTTCAAGGTGCTTTTGAAAGCTGGTGACTTTTCGGTTTTGAACTCATGCAGGTGCTCCTGGCGGACGGAATAGTCGGCGTGGCGAATAGCGACGGAGGCAAACGCCCCGGAGGCCTTGGCAACACGTCCTTGGACTGCAGGCGGACGTTCGTCCACCCCAGCCAGCACTCGAGCGGCGAGGCGCTGGAGAAGCAGTCGATCAGCGGGCGCGACTACTGCGCCGCGAGCCTCGAAGGCGGCGGAATGAAGCGAAGGCTCGTTCTGCAGCCGGAGCTCCGCGACCTGCTTGCGCGTCTCTCGCAGCACAGGCCGACCTCCGAAAGGCTTGGGCAACGGCTCAGCGAGGCGGAGTACCCGCTTCTCAAGGCAGCGCTCGCTCGGGAGGACGTGAAGGAGGTGGTGCGTTTCAGCCAGGTCGAGGGTGAACCGGGCAGGCTGCCGATCTTGGCCAGGCGGCGGCTGCTGGACGAGCAGGTTCAGATGGTTCGGGAGAAGAATCTCGCCGTGCTGCGGCTGCTTTGGGGCATCGAGGCGGACCTAGAGGCGCGAGGGGGCAGCCCCCGCATCTGGGAGCACTCGCCGGGCGAATGGGGCGAACTGCTCTACGATCTGGGCGCGCACGATGCGGACTGCGGGATCATCGGGACATCAGGCGGCCTCTCGGTCGTCCGCAGGCTGCTGCTGGGGTACGCGGCCACGGTGGAGGACTGCAGGCTGCTCGGGGCCGGCTCGCCGATCCTGCGGT